CCCACCACATCTTCCCAGCATCCATATTTCTGCACTGCCTCCGCATCAACAGTTGACAAACGTTGACCCCGTGCTGGCCCAACATTGCAGTACCAGGCAGCAATCGACATGCTGGCTGATGGCTGACCCCCGGGCCTCGGCGCAGTCCAGACAGCAGCCAGCCCCACACGCTCGCTCGCTCACAGGCGCGCGCACTAGAGACAGCAGTTCAAGTTCTCACCCCGGCAACAAGATCTGACCCGCTGGCCCCAGTGAAACTCATCAAAATAAACCAAACAGCAGACAAGAAGCATGGTGGGGAGGAGAGAAATCTGCTTATATTATGATGGGAAGAAGAAGCAAAGACAAGAAGTCAGGGACAATTCAGTCAGGGACATTTTTATGCACTTCTGATCATGCAGGTTGACAGCACTGGAAGTACAGACTGCTGAATAAAAGACTGGAAATGGTGATGACACCCAGCGACGAGCTACCCCCAACAGTCAAATAATGACAAGCATGCGGCCGGCCGAAGCCCGTCATTCAGCTCACCGTCCCCCCCCCCAGTGGTGTGCAGTGACCGAGTGGGGGGGAGGGGTACTGGGTCAAAGGTTAAACACTGAGAAGACAGCGATGAAAGGCAACTGTCATGCACCAGTGAACGAGGAGCGGTTGTCTCCTGAAGAACATGCAAAGTGCACCCATTCTGCCCAGCCAGGCAGATATCTCTGGCTCCTAAATGAGACCATTGCCAATTCATGAATAGCAAAAGCTGACAGCGTGCCACTCGAGCTGTCGGCCGTAAATCAGGCTCCCTTTCCGTCTCACATCACAAATGCATGCAAAGTTTAAGCTTATGAAGCACAGCTCAGATGCCCCCGGAAAAAAAACAGCAAGAAAAGACATTGAAGTTCCCTCAAGAAAAAAAAGCACCAAACAAATAATTCAAGGTTAGCCTCTGTCCAGTACAAACTGAAAAATGTCAGAGAAATACAGGAGGCTTTCTGTATTTGTTTCCAAGAGGTCAGAATGTCACTTCACGAAAAAAAGATATTTACATCTAATTTACAATTTAATTAACATACAGTAGGATACAGAGGGATTAACAAGTTTTCACAACAACGGTTAATGAAGCACATTAATTAGCATATATGAGCCCGAGCTTGCAGGATTGCTATATGGCTTCAGGAGCTGAGTTACACACTCCACCTGTCAGAGAGTGACATATCGTTATGAGAAAGAGGGAAACAAAAACCTCCCCAGTGCTCTCATGAGTAGCGTGCTAATCGCCAGCTTTCATTACATCTATTTATTGGAAAGTGTACGATCTACAAATTAACAAGAAATAGTTAAAGGGTCTTGTGAAAATCCCTCCTGCGGGTTTCGTGAATGAAGCTTTTTGGCTTTTAAATGGAACCAGATACCGGTTGTTTCCTTTTAGTGGAAAGGTGAGTCAAGCCACAAAAAATGACAAAGAAACACAATCGCAAATATCAAAAACGACTGTAGCAAAAACAGCTGCCGTGTGACTTAATGGATGGCCTAATTATCTAACAGGCTATTACAGAAAGACCTCGATCTTTGATCTTTTATACGACCTTTTAAAACATACAAAATGTCTAAAGAGATCAGGGCACTCATTAATCCATCCATGATTAGTCTGTTTTCACATTCAGTTGACTGCTCCCAAAAATCTTACACTTTAATAAAGTAAATATTATCCTAGCTCCTTACAATTAGTTACTTGAGTGATAGTAACATATGCAGCACCCCCGTTCCTAATGTGACTCACAGTTCTGGGACAGATGACATCTGGCCCATTGAAACCCACCACTGAAAAACTGTATTCTAAGCTTTCCACTTTAATTATTTGTTTAAATGGGGAATAATCAGTAACTCCAGTAAGAAAATGATCATACTCAGTCTTTCATGTACTGCAAACAACTTTAAGAGAGGCCCAACCCCACAGAGCAATTGGCCAGGTGATAGACTGAATGCCTCGAAATTGACACGGTCCATCCAGACAGACTAGATTATGAATAAAATAGACCTATTTTATGCTTTTCAATAATATTAAACTATATTTCATCCACATAAAATGATGGAATCCAATATTATGGTAAGAAAAATAGCCCCTATTAAAGAATAATCCAAACTCTGTGAGCAGTAGCCATTTTGCATATTATCATATTTATTACATTTTATGAAGTGCACTTCTTCAAATGAAAAACAAATTGATATAAACAGTGTACTAACCTTTCAGAGGAGTTATAAGGTAATCGCATGTACTGCTAACTCTGTCACTGCATATAGACGGTGTGCAGACAAATAATTGTAGAGAAAGAATGAGACAGAAACGGTGAGTTATTACCCACATCCACAAGCTTCATCATTTTAAATATTACTAAAAACATCAAATTAATTTATTGATTAATTTTTCAAGCTCACATGGCACTGACATTCAAGAACAAAAACACATCTATTTGTAAAGGCAACCACAATTCTGATGTGGTATTGACAGAAACATGCAAAGAAATGACCTAATATCTAGATCAATACCTAGTTTCACCCGTTACAACCCACTGAAGGGCAATCTATTTATCTTTCCAACCAAAGAAATGGTAATTATGGGAGTAAAAGATAGATGTTTCAGTTACGGTGAATTATTTTATTAGCTGAAGGCAGGGAGGATAAAAGACCAAGGAAAAAATAGTAGGTCTCTTTGCCAAATGTAAGTAAGACTCGTTATTAATGGTCAGTCTGGGCCAAGCAGATAATCGACATGGAAATCTGACAGACTTATTTGTACCACAGCTCAATTGCAGAAGATAAAACCTGAAACATAAGGCAGGGCGATAAAGTTACAGAAGCAAATCACCAGGAATATCTTAATTAAACAAATCTGCATTCAGGAAAAGTAACACGGGGGGCAACAGGGAGAAGACAATCTAGATGACAAGAAAACAACTTCTAGATACCATCTTCATATGGCCTTACATCTCACTGGTACAACGAGCCCAGCAGGCCTCTCTGAACAGGTCATGAGAAGCTCCAGGGCACCAGTTTCAGATGAAACTGACACTTCCTTTGTGATAAGCAATTTTATAAAGGATTAGCAGCACGATGGGCTGATCAATACTTGCTGCTCTGGCTATTACTAATACAGCAAAAAAATTGCTCCCCCTAACAATAAAGCACTGTGTCAATGTTCCTTTTCATTTGCCAGGGCTATTAGTGTAATGGCAACACTATCAGCCGCAGCAGTATTTTTCCTGCTGGTTTTGAAACAGCAGGGGTCTGATTAAGTCGAGAGCAGGCTACCATTCTTTTCAGGCCGCTGGTGTAAATTTTCTACCCATGACCCATATGTTGCAAGTATGAAACCCTAAGTGTGTTTTATGTCAACAGCCATCAGTATTTCCACAGTTATTGACCCATAAATAGTGGCAACTCCCTATATTGTAACTAAAACAAACAGAATATCGGGGACCAAATAACCTGCTGATGCCACTGAAATGGACTGCAGCTCTAGCCAAACACCAGCTCTGACATGGTGGACAGTATGAGTGCATTAGTTCTCATAAATTCTTACGTTCATACTTATTCGAGGGAGAGGGAAATTTTATGGGAAGCTGATTAACTGGCAAAACATATAAAAGCAGTCAATCAGACCCAGCCTCTCCGACCATTAATTTAACCGATATACTGAGGGGAACACAAACCATTTTAATGTGTACTAAGAAATTAAACTTCAGACAGCTTTCCAAATCAGAAAGAAGGGAAAAACATACACTTTACAGAATATGGCTTCTGGTAACTCTGTGGAATTAAGATATTTTAACCTGTCCTGTTTAAGGCTTCATTCTCATTTATTTTTATGAATTTAATGATAAGAAACAACATTTGACGTTTACAGAAATTTACAGACCAATTTTCAGACTTGACTTCTGTCACAAGGAAGGCACCTCACTGTTACTCCTAAGCAACAAACCGTAGGTAGTGTCAGTTAATTGAATAACAATCAGTGCCTCCACAACTTTCCAGGCAGAGGAAATTAATTATTTTGAGCTGAAACATTAATCTCCTTCCAAGAAAACACCCCAGACTTCTCTTGACCCCAAAAGAAAAAAAAATGGACTCTAACATATTTAATGATGTTGCAATCCACCCAACACACTCGACCCAAATACTGAATGCATTCAATACTGTGTTTTAGTAGCAGAGAGGTACCGTATACTTTATCAACACTACTCCAAAATCTCCAGCTAAGGTGTCTGTTAATTCTCCACTGCTTTCGGTACTTTAAAAAAATATATGAATAAATAGCTAACCATTAAGTACACAAATTGGGGGGAAAAACAATTCGCACAAATGTGTTGACTAGATTCGTGGATGAAAACAGTTAAGGCGAGCATGCATGATGCTTTGCCCTCTGAATGCAATAGACGCAGGACGACACCATGTAAGTGAGACATACATGCCTCAGCATCACTGTCACCTAACGCCGCTGCTCGTATAGGATGCAGCGAGTGCGCGAGCGCGAGTGGGCTACGCGGTCTCTTACAGTGGATGCTCATGATTAGCAGGACAACATATTTAACTTTAGACCTCCCAATTTACGTTACACTGACCCCAAAAAACCCCTAGTAATAATGGTTATATTCTATAAAGCGTTAAAACGACAGGGGGGAAATATACAGTTTTTTTGCTTAAATTACTGATCCCAATACTTACAAGCTCATACTGGAACCGTTCATTATTTTGAAAACTGCCTGACAAATACTTTAATGAAAGTGAAATGTCACTAATTACACAAGAACTACAAAAACCGTTATTTATTTTGGGGGGCGCATGAACAAGGGATTAGCTAGCTAGCTACATTTACCTACATTTGGAATTATTCATTCATTGTTCCTCTAACTGCCTAGATTGACCTATTACCTAATTACCGATAAGTTTAAACCCACATCTGCAAAAAATGCCAAGCAGCCTTCTATGTTAAAAGCAATAACAATAGCTACCTTTCTTTTCTTCTCCCTCTCACTGCTATCCGACCTTTTCATGTTCCTGGAGTTACATTGCCTCGATTTCACGACAGGTTATCATGGGACGAGTAGTTTTTCGTTTGAAACTACAGTTGGGTCTTGGTCTGCAAGTCCATATACGCTAGTCAATCAATCACGTAGCACAGCTTTCCCCGGCACGGTGCAAAACATGCAGGGTGTACATCCCGCCGAAATCCGCGAAAGGATTAACGCACACAAGAAGAGTGGTGTAAAACTACACTTCCCATAATGCTCTGTCCTGGAAGTGGTTTTCCAAACGGAAAATTGGCTAGTTGTTTGTTAGCAACAGTCACTGTGGAATGAATTGGTGTGTTTGTAAAAAGGTAAGAAGGGGAGAGTTTGCTAAGTGGCCGCATGGAGAACATAGTATGTTGAGAGAAATATTTTTACATAAGCATGTTTAGTATTAGTTTTAATATTGTGTTACTATGCATGTGGATAAACATTATGGAGAATAAATCATGTAACTACTGTCCTACGGTGCCTACTGCAATATAAGTACTAGCTAAATAACATGCTAGTTAACGAACTTGCGTTCTGCACACCAGTAAGGCAAGTAGTTAGTAAAGTGGATTTGTAAATTAGCGGCTAGTTCTTTGGTAGTTTAGCAGTTTATCACTTAGCACAGATATAGCCCCAGGTATTTTTTCGTCTTAAATATACACAGCTTCAACTTAAGTGTCAATGAAATAAACAGTATGATGGTTATCATTCGGCCTTATTTTAAATAGTTATACATTGTTTTGTTTGGCGCCTACGGTATATTTATGTAAACTATGGGTATTTATTAAATAGGCTATGAAGTTATATTCAAAATCAGCGTGTACACATTGTAATAGATAATATAATTTCGATTTTATGGCTTTTTCTGTTGCAAAGTCAGCTGTGTAGCTGTTCGTTTCATTCAGAAACAGATGAGTAAATAGAGAATATTTTCAGACAAGGACTATAATGAACAGACGGAAATGATACTATTATTAGTATTATAAAACGTTTTGAGGGGTGTAAGTACATTGCCTTTAAGATCATAAGAGGGTAAAATGAAACTGCTTTACAAATTTGGAGAGCAAGATGGGGTAGCTGAAAAGAGAATTTCCCCATGGGGATCAATAAAGTATCATTATTTTATTTCATGTGTTTATTCCAATTAGTTCCTCTCACTGCCTAATGGAACTGTATTGTTAATACAGCTTATATTGGAAACAATGTTATGCTTATGTATACAGTATACTCTTTCATTAATGTCTAGGCAGATATTTATAGATAGTTCTGTGATACATGGCTACTGTTTTTGTGTATTCATTTTTCCCTCCACAGGTTAGTCATTACAGTCGATAATTTGAGACAGCCCACTGGTTTTACCAGTGCCTTTTAAATATAATTTTTATAATAATAACAGATATTTTATTAATCCCCATAGGGAATTCTCTTTATGCATCCCCCAACTTGCTCTCTGTAGGCGAGAGCAAGCTGGTCACGAAGGGCAGTCACCCATAGCAGCACCCAGGGAACTGGGGGTTAGCCTTGCTCAAGGAGCCACAGATGTGCTGAAGCTGGGCTTGAACCAGCAACCTTCTGATCACAAGCACAGAGGCTTAGCCCACTGAGCCATGTTTTTGAGTTTGATGTTGCACTTTTCACACTTACACATCACTAAAATCTATCCTTTGTCATTCACAGAAGCACCAGTGCAGGTACTATGGAATGTGTTTCTTCCACATATCCCATCTTGCTCTCATTTGGGACACACACACACACACACACATTCACACATATACATACAGTTGAGAGGGAAGCTTGGGGTCCCAGCATGGGGACAAGCCATTTATTTTGCAGCCTGGAAACATTTTGGGGGGTGTAGGGCTTTGCTTAAGTCACCAACCTAAATGTGACTATTTGATATGAGGCCGGGGCTCAAACCAACGACCTTTCAATCATAGGCAAAGAGGCTGAGCCACCCACTGCCCCACAAATAAATAAATAAATCGATAGATAGATAAATAAACAAACATATATTCCCTTTTGCAGGGTTACATTTCCAATGGTACATCTGTCTGCTGTGTAGGAGCCTTGTGAAGTACCTCCTGGCCTGCAGGTTATTCTTACTCCAGGTCTTGCAGAAAACCACGGGACCTGCAGTTTTTAAGGGGTGGGGGAACCTTCAGGTCATACTTAAACATCACCTGGTAACCAGAACACCTGTGGACACTATATTGCTCTATGGAAGAGAAATCCTCCCTAGGCAAGATGTTATGTTGTACAAGATGATCATAATATAGAGTGAAAGTGGGACTGTGCTGTAAAACATGGTAACTTCACCTTCCAGCAGTACAATAGTCCAATCGTATCCACGGCTGATAGCAAACCATCCACGGACCCCATACACACAGTAAAACATTATTATAATGTTTATTATAATAATTATTATATGGTCATGTACAGCACTGTATTCTCGAATGAAAGGGATTATGTTATTGATGATAGAGCAATGAAAAATATCATATATCAAGGAATGGTAGAGCAATATTAAATATGCTTATTATACCCCTCAGAGCATTAAGGAACAATGAAAAAGAAACTGTTAGACATTATACTTTTTTTTTTTTTTCTTTCGGACCGAGGTAAACCTCAGATACTGGAAGACAGTCCAGGTAAATAGCATAACCTTAGGTGGATACTCTGTTGTAAACTTAATGATTGCTGAGACCCTGTGCCCTCAGAAATCAACATGAGCTGTAGCACAAAAACATGGATGGTTTACTTCAACCCTCACACTGTATTTAGGTATCTGAAATATCAAGCTATCTGCAAAGTAGTGCTTTAGTCACTGAAGCCTTGTTGCCTGCAACAGTTGTAACCATAATGTGTGACAGAGTAAAGCAGAGTCCATCTGAGTAAAGTCACATACAATGTGTTTTCTCACATACATTTTTATTGAATATGATAGAGTCCTTCATGTTACAAGTTCCACTTAAAATTAGAATGTTACAGAAAAATGTGATTACCTGCTTTGTTCATTGTAAACATAGTGAGGAGAAATGGAATTGTTTATATGATTAAGCATAATTTGTAATTTACGTTAATGTTTTCTTTACAATTTATTGCTAGTTATCTTTTAAAATTATCAGTAAAAGTCAATAGTAGTATTGTATTATATATAAATATATATTACCACAGTTGTTCTCAAGCAGATCACTTGTCAGTTTATTTGAGATATGTCCGGCTTTTTGCGAAAGTATGTGCTTATGTGATATCTGGTCATATATGTGTATTGAGTTACTTTTTACCCTAAAACTTTTGTAGACTTATATGACACATTTTTGCTGCTCAGTCTGCAGGTCAGTGGTAAAATGTGTTATGCTCATCATTCTTTTCAGATTGAGCCATGTCGACTTTGGCTGATGAAACAGCAGGAGACATGCCTGTGAAAGACATAAGCTTCAGCCACACTGCAGTCGGGGGACTACAAGGTTCGAAACACCTGCTATTTATTACCGCTACGGCCTTTGATCAATATCTTCATTTGTTCCCTTTTGCCATCTCTTTTTTATGGTAGAACTGACCCAAATGAACCCACACACCGTGATTGAAGACACATGTGCCTTTCACCTGTCTTGTAAAAGTTTTTTTGAGGGGGATTATTTTCAAAGATTTCTTTGTCTTTGGCATCCTGTTGCCATAAATGGGTCTCTTTTGATTTTGTATTTATAACCTACATTTCCTCAGTTTCCTACTTTTTCAGTTGAGGGGTGAATTTCTAAAGTAAGCCCAGATGCAAGTGTTATATAGGAATGCGGACCCATTGTTGTTTTTGGAAGCAAAGACAGTGGAAACTTTTTCTGTTAGGTAGGCTGTATAGCATGGGCCAGTAAACAGAGTTAATAAGCTGCTACTGTTTTGGTGCATTTTTGCTTTAAAAGCTTATGTTGCCAAATAAACCTGTGGTGATTTCATTATAAGAGCAGAGAGATTGCTGTCAGTCTACAGCGAGACCATCGCCTGAGTTAAGTGAGGCTGAGGGCTGCTCTCTGATGTCCAGCGGCTTCTGTGATCACTAAGATGCTGACTTTCTGTTAGCAGAATCGTTGGCAGTGCCAAATGGCCGACCACGGCAGGCCGCTGTCCCAGCGGGGATTTCCCGGATCAGCCGCGAGGAGCTTGAGGACCGTTACTTGCGCCTCCATGAGGAGAGCCTCCTCCTCAAACAACACATCCACAAGCAGGAGGACAAGATCAGGAGGTTCGGTCGCTTTCACATACAAGCTTTGACACCAGTATATACTTGTGATCCGTTCTTTGTTTATTTAGTTTCTCTCACATTAGACAAATGTGGCATTTTTATTTTTTATGTAATTTTCTTTTTTGCTTATTATGTGGCTGTTATTTTGCACAAAATAACTTTGCCATTTTGTCACCCCAGTGTTTTTTTACTCCACCTTTACCGGCATTTTGCGTCTATCGTTATTGTCTAGTGTTTTTTTTTCTCATCAGGGCAACTTTTTCGGCAAAGATGCTTCACGTATGATCAGAGTCAGCGTAGTCATAAAAGTGAACTGGAGAGCGAGGCGGACGAACCAAACCGCAGCGCGAAATGCAAAGTTAGCCGGCGGTACCTGCCGCTTGCCGCGCTTCAGATCACGCGCCCTTTAAACGGGCCAATGTTTCCTCGCCTCCAGCTGTCAGGAGCACTCTGTGTGTGTGCTGGGGCTCCTGGTGGCAGCGGCCCCCCCAGCTCCTCTGATATTACACATTCAGCCCCACGTTCCTGATGACACTGGAGCGGATGAAGAAAGCGGGCGGCGCTGTGTTGTAATCAGCGTGTATAAAGCCTGGCAGCATTCAGGTGCAGAGACTCCAGTGCCAGAATACCATTTTGAATTTCATTACACAAATAAATCACAGCCTGTTTACTGTATATAAAAGCAGCTCTTTGGTCGTTTACCTACTTTAGCATGAACTCTATGAATTTGCTGAGTTCTATTGGGTTACATTTTCTTTACATCGTGTTATGACCATGGTTTTATTATTTTTTATGTGCAGTTATCAACTGCCTTGTATTATTATTTTTTTTACCTCTCTGCTATACTCACTATACTCACCACTGTACTCTGGGCTGGAGCTATTTTACAGTTCTATAGGGTATAGTATAAAATATTACTATTCCTGTAATGGAGCTGAAGAAGCATATGGAGCGAGTGCGCGTTTCCCCTGTGCACTCTCCTCAGCGGCAGACCATAGGAAGCTGTTATTTGTCAGTGCTGCAAAGCAGATTGCTGCCCAGTGGTTTCAATTAACATCAAAGAGCTTCTCGCAAGCCATGTTAGTTGTATCAAAACCTGAAATTTATTGTTCAAGACTCACACTGCGGCCTTCATAGTGTGTCCCCTTTGAAAGGAACTTCGAGCTTCTTTTTTTTTCCCTTCCCAACTTTCCCCCCTCTGTCCCCCCCCCACCTCCCACGCTCACTCCTTTCCTTCTGCCCCCTCCCGCCGGGCAGGATGGCGACCAAACTGGTCCGGCTGGTGAAGGACAGGAAGCGGGATGGGCAGGCGGTCCAGGGCCCTCGTCCGGTCGCCCGGGACGTGGAGACGGAAGAGATGGTGGAGGAGCTCCAGGAGAAGGTGCGGGAGCTCACGAGACAAAACGAGGGCCTGAAGCAGCGCCTCATCACTGCCAAGCAGCAGCAGCAGCAGGGCCCAGGCCGCCGACACGTCCCGTATGGGCACGTCCAGCCTCGCATTAACACCGGGCTGCGGCCCCCCAGCAGAGGTGCGTCCCAGCAACAGTCAGTTGGGGGATTTTTCTCCTCCATGAAATCCACACAGTATAGTTGTTGTTCTTATGAATAAATGTGTATATGTTTCCCATGTTTTGTTTTTGTCTTCATTAAAATTATTTTTGCAGTTCTGATGCCTAAAGCTTCTGAAATGTAGATTCTTTCTTGTTCAGTGTGATCTTATGCCACTTCATTAAGTACACCTAGCTACTACTGGGTAGGATGCTCTTGTGGCCCTAGAACCACTGTAAGAGCTAGTGAATAACTCATTCGGAGTAGCCTTTCTGCACACCCCTATTGTACTGTTATTTTGACACCTGTGCCCTTCGGGTTAGTTTCAGCAAGTCTGTCCATTCCTGTCTGACCGCTCGCAGCAATGGAAATGCTGTGGTTGGATGTTTTGTTGTTTTTTAACTCTTCACGCCATTCTCTGTAAACTCTAGACACTGTAGTATTGTGAAAATCCTGGGAGGGCAGATGTTTCTGAGATGCTGGAACCGTCACATCTGGCACCAGCAGTCACAACACACCCAAAATCACTTAGATTAGGAGTATTAGCTGTTATAATTCTTAGCCAAACAGTTACTGACCCTTTTGACCCCGTCTGCTTGCTGTATGTATTCAGTTGCAGCCACATGATTCTCTGTTTGCAGGATCGGGCCGTTTGTGTTAACGAGCAGGTGTACCTAATAAAATGCTCACTGAGTGTATATTATTTATGATGCCAGTGTAAAGGGAACTTGATTTATTCTTAAGGGTTGTACCTGAAATTCCATTTATCATGCTTTATTTTGGCAGGTGTCAATGATTTTACTCAATTCAGCAAAATAACCTTCAAAGCACAAAGTTAGACTTAAAGCTTCTTGTCGGTAAGAGAAATGAATGAATATAGAACATGGAAGAAAAACAAAAGGACATCTGACCTTCCTTTGATGCACATTTAGAAAAAAAATAGATACTGGCTAGGTAAAAAAAAAAAAAAAAAGAAAATTGGCCCGTGTTAGTTTTGATGCCAAATGAAGACACAGAAATTCATTATATTTAATGGTTTTTGAGATTTTGCTGTTGGGTACCCCCTGACCTGATGAATGGGGACCTCACTTTCATTTCCATGGTGGGTTGATTCTGGCTTCACTTCAGTTTGATTCTGGGAATTTACTGTGAACTTTGTTGTTCAAGTTTTATTTTAGTACCTAGTTTAAGTTTTCTTTTTTTTTTTTTTGAGAAAATTGAGGGCGAAGCTGACCAATCTTGTAGCTGAAGAATGCTGAAAAATTGTTGCGTTTCGATGGATAATTTCAGTGTGGCTTTTGGAAGGAATAACAAGGAATAAGTTGGCAAAAATAGTAAGAAATCTGCCTTATTTTCATAAAAAAAATGTAATAGTGACATTTCTGGGTAGAAAAATGATTGAGGTTGAATCTAAAGTGTTTTTCGATAGTATTTGTTTTACACTCTTCAGTCAGTGTGCTTTACCTGCTGAGTCCTAATATAAGATTTTCTGTCTAGGTCCCAAAATCTGATCAGAAGACTTTTATTTTTTTGCATCCATCAGTGGAGCAGTTCCAATTATATGTGCATTATTTGTGTTTGTTCCCAGGCCATCGGACCGTGGATATGAATGCTAAGGCAACCCAGAACCTGCTTCCACGATACGGCCATAGTCTGCTGGACGACGCCAGGGCCGAGATCCGTAATCTGTGTGTATCTTTAACGCGTTCCATAATGCGACGCTCGATTAATATTTATTGACCTGTTTTTTCTTTATTACCTTACAAGCAGGTGTGAAATGTTTTTGAATTTTCTTTAGATTGCATATATAGAAGGAAGCTCAAGTTCATGCTACACTCAGCAGTCATTCTGTTCATATGATTTATTTACACCATGTCAAGTATACGCTGTCAGTATTCCTGCCTGGAAATCCGGAGCCGAGAATGTAGGGAGTGATATTGTCCTATTCATGTGCTACGTGTGGCGGCAGGGAGAGCGAGATGGAGTCTCAGAAGGCACACACTGAGGAGATGGACCATTGCACTGAGATGCTGAGGGAACAGCTGAGGAGGAAGGAGAGGGAATCTGAGGAGCAGCTGCAGCTTCTCAGAGAGCTGCAGGCCAATGAGCAGAGGTAACTGGCCACACCCCCTGAATGTGGCCACACCCCACATCTGCACGTTACTGCGGGGACCCCCCCCCCCCCCATCTCAGGAAGGAAATGACCAGTTTAATGCACATGCTGACGTTTACTTTATACAACACATATGCTGACAGAAAAGAGCATGACGGCACCACCTGACCTCCTCCGCGGTCTCTGTGCCACGAGTGTTTATGGGCTATTTTTCTCGCTGTTCCTCCCAATTATCCCCAAGGTGTAGCATTAATAAAGTTTAAATGGGGCCAGTGAGCAATAACTGTAAAAGCAGATTGTTTAAAATGTACAAATCGCAATCATCAGCTGCAAACACTTTGAAGTTGAGTGTTTCATTTGAGTCTTTCATTGACTTCCTAGGCAATTTTTTTTTTCCTTCACTGCACAGCCAATATAGATCCACTAATGGTATTAGTTGGATGGACAGTTCTTGCTTTGTTGATGTCATGTTATATACATGCCACTGTATTTATATATAATTTCAACAATTTCCATTGGGATAAACTTTTATTGTATTTTATCATGTAGAGGTAGTCACAGTGTGCATGACACAACTTACAGTTTCAGCATACTGAAGGCCTTGTCCTATCCAAACAGTGGTGCTGAGTAGTTTTTAATTGGTTGAGTGGTGGTTCTTAGGAATATTTGGATTATTTTCAGTGCCATTCGTGCTAAAGATGAGAATTAATCCCACTGAACCCTATAGCAGTAATGGTGCCGAGTGGAGAATGTGTTCCTGGCCTACCAGGGTAAGCTGCCTTTCCTAAAGTGAACAAGGACCAATAAATAATGTTTTCCACGCCCTGCCTTTATGGTTCCTTAGAACATAGCGAAGTTAAAATATCGCTACGCTGTCCAACATGGCTATGGCTTCACTTTGGTACCACACACCTAGCACGATAATGCTTTGCCCAACTTCACTCTTTTACAGTGGAGCAATCTTAAATTACTTTAATGTCATCAAGTGGTTTCACAAATAGCATTGTGCTTTTCTGCAGCACCGAGCCAAATTAATAAAAGCACAAGGCTGCGTTTAGCGCTCAGCGCTCCAACCGGGCTCGTCTTGACGGTGCCGCCATCTTAACTCACCACAGCTTTTTAATGCTTGTTGATGACATGTTGGGGAGCCAAGATCCCATTTTCAGCGTCGTGCCAAATGCAGCTCTTGGACGCCTTCCCGGGTTTTCGTGCTTATTTGTCTTCTGCGAAAGGACAACCATCCGGTTAGTGCCAAAGCATCCTCTGGTCTTTTGATATCCGAAAGCATGTCGATGGAAATGCTTGACGCTCAGCTGGCATACAGATGTTCTGTGGTTTGGAAGCCTGATATCTGAACTGAATGCAGATTAGTGGCCTTTTTCCCTGGTTCTCAAGAAGTTTCTCCCCTCATTCAATATCCTATCTACTTTCAGTAGAAGTACGTTTCATTGCATATGTGGTTTTTATCAAAAATTGTTTATTCTCTGTCATTTTTTTGTGGCGGTTGTTTGTTTTCATTTATGGCTGAAATAATGTGCTCGGTGGCAATCAAAAGGGGTAGCCGGTGGTCATATATTGTTAGTTAGTTTGACGTTGTGGTCGAATATTCATACAAATAAAGTTTTAAATATTCATGAATGCTTTTTTCCCCCTTAACTGGGTCTGTAGCCATAGTTTATTTTTAAATCCTTCATTTTGTCAAACCATTTTATTGTAAAAACATTTTTGTTTATAGTAGAACTTTTTAAAGTAGAAGTTTTTCTTTTTTAAAGTGTTTTCCAGACTCATAGCTTATTTTCCCAAGGCTGCTAACATTTTTGTAAGAGAATTGAACATATATATCAACAACCCAGGAAGAGAATGACTTAATGGCTGCTCTGCCCAGACTGGACGTGACGATCAGGCGTTCAGTTTTACCCGATGCTGTTCTGATCTCTGCAGGTCAGCCGTTAAGGACAATGTGGAGATGATCAAACTGCAGAAACAGCTGGCTGACAAAGGCAATGCATTCACAGTTCTGGAGGGTCGTTTTCTTCAGCTCCAGGAGGTGAGCAGATTGTCAGCTTCTAAAGTATCCACCTTTTAAAATATGCCTTCACAGCAGTCCCTAGAATGTTCACATCATTTCATTTACTTCCAGAGACTTCAAATAAAGTTGCAGCATTTCCTGGAACCAGAGCAAAAATAGCACATTTTGCCCTTTCATATTCATAAGCAGGAGGTGTTTAAGGACATTAAGACTGGAAGTTCTTTGAAATAAATCCCTACAGTTCTGGTATCATACTCATTGTACAGTAGTATAGCTTTTTAAATAATAGATAACTGTTTAATGGTAGTATGATTAATCGAACAAATGTTTTTTTTGTGTGTTTGGATCATTTAACTCCTAAGCATTTCTTAACTTTTTATGGTTTTTAACAGAAGGGGGCGTTGACCAAACATGATTAAGCCCAAAAAGCTTTTAAGATAAATTATTATTGTGATTATCTTGCCAGATATATACATGGGCCCTGTCATTATTACCCCAAAAACCCAACAAATCTGTTTTGTATGTTAAAAAAACCACCAGTAAACTGTTGATGAGCACAATTACTGAAGATTTGCAAAGCATTAAGAGGTTGGACCATTCCTGACCTTTTTCACATCTGACAGCAATCTGGGCTTCATAAATCAAGTTTAAAAAAAACACCAAAATAAGTTCTAATTTAAAATGCACCAACACAGATATATAAGATTTGAGTGCATAACATTTATCTAAGCATTTGTTTATTTTATGGAGTTCTGACTGATGGTCTTCAGGCAGCGTTGGTTGGTAGATGTGAGGGTGTGAAGAGCATGTGAGGAGTGCATCTTGTGCTTTTGTGGTTACCAAGGCTAGCTGATGGATAGTCTTGGCTAGAACAGTGTGTTCTAATTGCTGATATGAAATTACAGAGTCTAACTGACATGCATGTATATTTTAAGAGAGGCAGATTTGCAGATGTATTTTGGGCTATTTACTCATGCAGCACTCTTATCTGGATTCTAGGCTGGGTTTTTTTTTTCAAAACGACATTTTGTCTTGGTGCTTGTCTGAAATTTTAGACTTCTGCTGCCTTTTCCATTATACATTTTTCTGCCGTTTATGGAGAAGTCTTGTTGTGTAACCATTAAGAGGTATTTCATTCCATGTTAAATTAATCTTCAGTTACTTCATCATTCCTTTTTAAAATTTAGTCATTCATATAATTGAAGCTTTTTTTCTGCACTCTAGAGAATTTGATAATATGCATTATTGTCAGTCATTTACAGTCAAAATAATTTGATTATGGTCCTGAAAACCACTAAACCACAAGGACTGTGATGTGCTTTTTCCTTCATATTTGATTCCTCAGATATTTTGGGTAATCGAGAACTTGAATGTTTAATTTTCTCCCCAGTATGAACTTGACTTGCTGGGCAGCTACTGGAAAGGTCATCCTATGTGTTTTAAACTAATAAACTCTGTATCGACATTCCCCTTTTCTACTGTATTGACAGTATTGATGTGTCTTGTTGATCATTTCCCAGTTGGTTTACTCACTGGGAATGTCGGTCCCAATGAGACTAAGGGCAGTGTAAAGTCAACAGTAGTTTCAGTATGCCTCAGGTTAAAAAGAGGTCCGAAGAGTGTCAGAGACAGGCCAATGAAAGCCTCTTGTTGAGGTCTGAGTAATGACACGTACTCTGTCACAGACAACCACCTCTTTGTCCCCTGGCATCCTGATCTGCTCTGCTCTGGTCCCCAGGTAGACAAGTCAGGTACTTCACTGTAGTGGCAAGGGTTGCCATTCCCACTCAGATGTTTGGCCAAAAGCCACATGCACACACACACACACACATTTGTATTCCCACAATCCCTAGTTCAATGCTGCCTCCTGCTGGTGGACCTTGGCACAGCAGGGATCGGCCATGCTGAGTTGCAGTATAATCTGCTTAGCTCTTTGTCCTCAGCGTAACTTGGAAAGAATGATTGAGAATGAAATATGTCCAGATGAAATACTAGACATGTTCCCTTCTTGTTAGGGTTTGTGCAGAGCAGAGATTTATTTTTTTTTTGCTGATGAGGAGTAACGAAAGTAATAACCTCTGACAATTGTTCTCTCGGACAGCTGGGAACATACACTCTTAAACTTTGATTATTTATTTGTTCTGTATGAGCTGTGCATAAAGTGATGAAAAAATGTCATTTTCACATTTCACCATTTTATTCCATCGTTTTTACTGTCATTGCTATTGAAATCCATGACGCTGCCTCTGCACCGCTTTTACACAGAACCAGAGGATCCTGAATGGCAGCCATGATGCAATGATGGCCCAGGTGGAGGAGCTCAGCAGTCAGCTGAAGGAGGAGCAGCTGCGGAGTCGCGGCCTGGAGAACCAGCTGCATGCCAGCACGTTGGCGCAGCACCGCACTGAGGAGGTGACACACTGGCTGGGGTCTCGCGGCATGTGATTTCTCTGCTCTAAGATGGCTGCTCTCCTTCCAATTGAGCCTGAAATAGGGCTAGGTAACGAGTGCGTCTCCTAGCTAGACTCTCCAGGAAGTGCTCCTATGTAAACTGTAGTTTGCAAACCATGTTGATCTTCCTAGATTGTTAGCGGTATTTGCACAGTTGGGAGATGAAAAGCATTATGGGAAATGTCTGAATGAACGCGATTAGATGAAACGTGACAAGTGCGGTACTGATAGCAATATCATGATGTGGTGATCCAAATTGATCTCCGCTTCTCAAAATCTGCAGCTTCAAGAACGCATCCTTGATCTGGAGAAGGAGCGAGATCTGCTCAAGGAGAATTGTGATAAACTATTCAGCAGGTGAGGGGGTCT